GCCATTTGATGATTGAGTTTTTCGGTAAGTCAACCTTCCCAATGAAGGGTTAGTTTTCTCCGAGTGTCGTGTCTCTCGAGGAGTGGACGAAGGGAATTAGCTAATTTTTCTAACTAGACGAAGGTTATGACGGGTCTGAAAGTCTTCCCGATTTGATTTGAAAATAATAATAAAATAAACTACTGGATGCTTTTGAGAAAAAGAAAATAAATAGTACGGGTATAGGACTAGACTTCGGGCCAAGGCATCATCTGAGTTAACTACTGTTGTCACATATTTAATCAATAATTGGAATAATAATATTTCTGTCACAAATATTTCATTAACTTATCCTCTCTCAAGGCAACATTAATGTGTTCTAAAAAGTTTGGCTTAATTAATTTTATATCCTCATAGACAAGGCAAAAATTAATTTCCAATTATTAATTGATTTTTCTCTCGACATAATTAATTAATTTAACAATATAAATAATTCTAGAACAATTATTCCAACTATTAAATAAATATACAGAGTCTTGTTTTTGAGTTTCTTAGTGTTGTATACACGTTAAGGGAAGCTTGTTTCCCTTGGTTGTACGAAGGAAAGGTATTTTCCATCGGGTTGAAGTCTTGGAGTGCGGTATCTCCGAGCAAGTGTTGTTGAGGCTCGTGGGACTCGAGTTCTCAGGTTGTAACGGTTTGTTAAGCACCCGTAAGCTTAACGGAAGTAGTGTAGCTCGAGAGAGTCTCTCGGGAGGCTGGATTAGCCACAAGTTGTGGTGAACTAGGGTAAAATTCGGTGTGCCTCTTACTCTTCTCTTCACTTCTCTTTTAAGTTTTTTTTATTCCTGCGATTTCTACGATCAAACGCTATTCACCCCCCCTCTAGTGTTGGTCATTTATTCTAACAATTTTTATTCCGCGAAAATTTATAAACATTCTCGTGCCTCACTATTCACCCCCCCTCTAGTGAAGGGCACTTATTCTAACAATTTTATAGTGCCAAAATAGGCTCCAACGGATCAAAACATTTAAGTGGTGATTGGCTTGATTTGTGGGATTTGATTGAAATTGGATCTGCTGAAAATCAGCCAGACAGCGCTGTCTTAGGCTTGGACATCGCTGTTCTAGGCTTGGGTTTTGAAAAATGGGAAGCAACGGTTATGCCAACAGCGATGTCCAATACCCCTACATCGCTGTTTTGGCTGTTGACTTCCAAACAAGGAAAGTTTTATCCTTAAATTCCTTCCAACGGTCAGGTCCCTATATCGATGTTCATTACTTGAACATCACTGTTTAGGTCTGACTCTGAAGGTGGAAAGTTTGGCCTGACAGTGATGTTGCTGGGTCAACATCGCTGTCCAAAAACTTTCTGCCAGAAGCATTTCTTTTTGGCTTAGGTTGGACAGCGATGTAGGGTGGTCTACATCGCTGTTCCAGATGTTTCTGGAAACCCAACCTTGACTCAACAGCGATGTCTAACAACCAACATCGCTGTTGGAAGACTTAACGCCAAACCATGGTTTTTAGCTTCCCATGCCAGACAGCGCTGTTGGTTACACCAACATCGCTGTTGGGCTGGTTTAGCCAAACCCATGGTCGGTTTAGTCATGCCGTTAGCCGATGTCAAAAATGTAAGTTCTCCAAAATAGAAACCAAGTATTAAAAAAATTTGTTTAATGCATTTTGCTAAGAAATCAAGTAAAACATCTTAAAAACCACGGCTAGCCAAGTTTGCGCCATTTCGCATGGTTTTCACTAAATGACCAAAAACCAAAGGTGGTTTTTTAAGCGTTTTTGTTGGAGAACTATTTAAATATGCCCAGAAGTAAAAACCAATCATTAAAAGTTAAAAGCCACTTGGTTGGTTTGGACACCAAACACCAACGCCGATAACCGAAGGCCGAATGCCGGTTTCACCGAACGCCGGGTGGCTTGGTTTTTGGGCGAACTTCAAGTGTTTTTAGGCATGTTTAAAACTTAGGAAAACATTTTTGAAAATGCAAAAAGTATTTTGATGAAGTGAGCCTAGAGAGCCAAGTTTTTGAAAGTTTGTGACGGTCTTGATCACATTAAGACCGACTCAATACAATTCTAAGTCTTCGTTCTTGATTCTTGGTTCTTGGTTCTCAAATCATCATGCCATGTTCCTTCGCCTTGTTATTGTCATGACGGTTTGGCATTATCAAAACCTGTCATAAAACGAATACGGTTTAGTATGAAATAGGCGTAAACCCGTGTTCCAACACATTGGATCAGGCATTCCCAAACGAGTGATCCTCTAGTTTGGACTACGAATCCCGTTTATGCATTTTTATCTAATCCATCAACTATTCATGTTTTCATAAGTTCATTCTAAAATCTATGCTAGAGGTCTTCTAGATAGTCTTAACATCAATTAGCTAATAGATATATCTTAAAGTCTTCTAAATATCCTTAACAATACACATCATTTTCTTGTTGATCAATTTAATCATTTTAATCATGGTTCAACCATTATTAATCATTTTAATCAGTAGATTCATCATTTATAATCATTCATAATCATCATTAATCCTAGTCATCGATTAACATAACATCGAATCACAAGTAGCGGTCTAGTTTCGAGTGATAACACTCTATGTTATACCCGAGCTCCGGGATTTGGCTTTAAATTTAAGAACAAAGCTTCTTAAACTGCAGGAAAGGAGGATAGTCGATTATCCAGGTATGATAATCGACTAACAGGTGCTTTAGTTTCTCGGGAGAATTTTCAGAAGTTTCAGGATAGGTAGTTAGTCGATTGACCAGGTGGTGTCAGTCGACTATTGTGGGCTGCAGATTTTCTGAGGAAGTTGATAGTCGATTGTCTAAGATTGACAGTCGACTACTGAAGGCTGCGGGGGTTTTGTGAAGGCTGGATACTCGATTGTCAAAAGTGATAATCGACTATTGGACGGCTCGGGAAAGGACAAGAAGTATTCTTTGGGAAAGGGAAGCAATCCAAGTTGGTGTTAAGAGATATTACACACTCTTATCTTAACTAGGGGTTGAGTCTAGCATTCAAATAAGATATTACACACTTATTTAAATAACTAGAACCTAAAACTCATACTCAAGAGAACCACTCTTAAGATATATATTTAGGAATTTAAAATAGCACACACAAACAAGTGTATTACTAAGTTGAAAATGGTAATACAATATGTCTCTTTACAATGCTCAGGGATGAGCTTATATAAGCATGAAAGGAGACTACCAAGTCTCTTATTCACACAAACTAAAGGAATTAATGGCCACATGTTGATGTTCTTTTGGTGGGGGAAAACACAGGGGTGATTGTACTTGTAGGGTAGGATTCTTGGCCATTAGTGGTAGGAGGGAATATGTGAATATAAGTCACCATTGATTGGCTTTGGTGGGGCTGTTTTTGGGCAGGAGGAAAGTTTGGATGGTAGGCTATTTGGATGCATTTCCTGGGCAGGATATGGGGGAATCAAAGGGGGTTGAAGGGTGTGGTTGTGGGCCAAAGTGTCTTGGATTTTTGTGGTTGTTTGTTTAGCCAAGTTGAGGTGTAAGGAAGTGGTAATGACATGGTTAGGGGCTGGGGTTTTTGGTCAGGGATGCAGGGAGGAAAAGGTAAGGAAAAGAAATATAGTTTTGGGCTTAATAATATTTTTGGATATTTGGGGGATTGGCTTGGATGAGAATGGCTGGGTTTTAAGTGGGAGTTGGGCTCAGGGAAATTATGGCTATGTGGCGGGTTTTAGGATTGATAAGCTTGGTCCAAAAAGGATCATAACATTTAGCCATTATTCCATTAATTCGCTTAACGACTTTAGAGTCGTTGGTAGTCGCCCGGGGTATATCATCCTCCCCTTCTTCAAAAGAGTTTGTCCTCAAACTCGGAATTTCTTCAGGATCAAAGTACGCGCTGATGTCCTTGATGTTGAATGTGGCCGATACTCCATAGTCTCCTGGAAGGTTGATTTTGTAGGCATTGTCATTTACCTTCTCTAATATCTCAAAGGGTCCATCGGCTCTCGGTAACAGCTTCGACTTGCGTTTCGTTGGGAAACACTCTTTCCTAAGATGAATCCAAACAAGATCTCCTAGTTGAAAGTGGGCGTCCTTCCTTCCTTCCTTTGTTGATGCGCGCGCTAATCTTCTCATTCATAGCTTCGATTTTGTCTCGAACTTTGTTGTGAAGGTCCTGAATTTCCTTCGATCTCTTGTCTGCTTCCCAACTATACTTGGTATCCGTTATGATAGGATCAAGCTCTAGTGGGGTCAGGGGATTCGAACCATAGACAATGGTGAAGGGAGATAGTCCGGTAGTCTTGTTCGGAGGTCGGTTGTAAGCAAACTCGGCATGCGGTAGCAACTCCTCCCATTGTTTGATGTTCTTCTTTATGAGGGTTCGGAGAAGAGTTCCAAGGGTTCGGTTGGTAACTTCAGTCTGCCCATCCGTTTGGGGATGGATTGCTGTACTAAATTTGAGTTTAGTACCCAACTTTCTCCACAGAGTCGTCCAAAAGTGGCTAAGGAATTTCGTATCCCTATCCGAGACCATGCTTCGGGGAACGCCATGGAGTTTTACGATCTCTCGGAAGTAGAGATCAGCCACAGGTTGTAACACATGGCACGAAATGAGCCATTTTTGAAAAACGATCCACCACAACCATGATGGAGTCTTTTCCCTGTTGGGTCCTTGGCAGCCCGGTGATGAAATCCAAGCTGATGTCTTCCCATGGTGCATTGGGAACGGGTAGGGGAAGGTGCTTTCCTTGGGGCAGAGAATGTCCTTTAGCTAAATGGCAAGTATTACAACGCTTGATGAAGTTCTCTACGTCCCGCTCCATCTTAGGCCAGTGGTAGTGTTCTCTCATCATCATGTGAGTCTTGTCGACTCCATAATGACCAGCTAGGCCTCCTCCGTGGACTTCGTCGATGAGGGTTTCGCGAACACTGCACTTCGGGATGCATAGTTGATTACCATGGAAAAGATAGCCATCTTTGATAAGAAATTCACCATGGGGCCGAGATAAACACTTAGAATAAGTGTCCTTGAAGTGTTCATCCTCCTTGTAAAGTTCCTGCAAACACTCAAAACCAAAAAGTTTGGTACTAAGTACCGTTAGTAATAAATGTCTCCGAGACAAGGCAACGGCGCCCTTGTTCATGCTTCCGTTTTTGTGTTTGATGGTGAAGGTAAAGGTTTGGATGTACTCGACCCATTTGGCATCACGGGGTCGGAGTTTATGTTGCCCTTGGATGTATTTCAAGGCCTCATGATCGGAACGTAGGATGAACTCTTTGCTTATAAGGTAATGGCGCCAATGTTCAAGGGATCGCACCAAAGCATAGAACTCCTTGTCGTAGGTGGAATACCGTCTCCTCGTATCATTTAGCTTTTCGCTAAAGAATGACACCGGGTGCCCTTCTTGAGATCGGACAGCCCCTATTCCAACTCCCGAGGCATCACACTCCACCTCGAATAGTTTGTCAAAGCTAGGAAGGGCTAACACGGAGGCATGTGTTAATCGTTTCTTGATCGTCTCAAAGGCTCGTTGGGCCTTGGGATTCCACTCAAAGTTCTGATTTTTAGTCAAATCCATGATGGGTGCGGTTATGGTACTGAAATCTTTCACAAATCTCCGATAGAAAGAAGCAAGCCCATGAAAGCTTCTAACTTGCTGCATAGAGGTGGGAATGGGCCAATCTCGAATGACTTGAGTTTTCTTCTTGTCAACCTTGATGCCCTCGCTTGAGATAAAGTATCCCT